GACAGGCAGGTGAGCCACTGGACACATCAGCTGGTGTCCGAGAGCAGCTGCTGTTTCCACCTCCCATGGGCCTGACTCCAGCTGCTCCTACATCCATTCACTGCAAATCAGACTGAGCCACTCCTCTCTGTAAACACTGGATGGTCTCAGCAGTGCTGCTAGAAGACACGGCCCATCTCCTTAGCATGTCCTCCAAGACTCTTTACAGTCTGACCCCAACTCCCTTTTTAGGCTCTTCTTTTGTGACAGTCACCTCATGCCACCTGCATTGCCCCAAATCTACCATCCTCTTCCCTGCCTCCTAGTCCCCTCAACTTCTTTACCTAATTAATCCTACTCATGCTTTAAAACTCAGATGTTGTCCTCTGTGAAGAACCTGCCAGCCTTCCACAGGTAGAGTTCAATCCATAGTTCTCTCACCAGCCTCCTGTTGCTGAGCTCCTCACACAGGACTGCTTACTCCTCACTCCCCATAAGATCATAAGCATTATGAGATTAAGGGTGATTTTATAGCCTCTGTATCTACCCAGCATGGTGCCTGATAACCATATATTTTATTTAATACATTGATGAAAGAAAACAGAACTAAATGAATGAATCGGGCTGCTTCTAACAAAAGACATCACCTTTCCCAGCCTTCCCCATCCATGTGCGGAAGTTACTCTTGGTTGATAAGAGACTGTACATGTCAACAGAGCCATATTTGCAAAAGATGGGCACTCATGGGGGTTGGAGAGGGAAGTGCTGTGTCTAAAATAACAACCCCCCCTAAAAACATTATGTCAGAGGGGGTCTTTCCTTTCTGTATTTCTTGTGTTCACCCTCCTATACTCTTGTACAAGTCTGATTTCATTTTTTTAATATCCTAATGAGTTTTTAATGTACTGGGTAGCTATCATCCCAGTGTGAGAAGTCCTGTGTCCAGCTGCTGCAGTTGTTCTTTGAAGCTCCATCCCCTGGATTTTCCCCCTGGTAATTACTGAGCAATCCATTTTCACCTCTAGGCCTAGCATCTGTGGCAAGAGTTCCTGCCTGCCTGTTTATTTTTTGGCTAATTTAGTTCCTTTACGTCATATGACTTTCAATGACCCACATGCAATATAGGAATCACCCTAGTAGGACTTTCCTTAGGTTCACAGAGACGTGCTAAGTATAAGTAATAGATCAGATTTTAAATCCAGGCAGAATGAGTCCATATCATAGGCCCCAAGGAAAGCTTATAACGCTGTTTTATAAAGAGAACCCAAGAGCTTCTTGATCTTTGCTATTTTCCATAGGAAAATGCCTCACCAAGTACATGCTTCCCTATGCATTTTGTAGTGGGACATGTATGGGGTCAGGGAAAGACACTAAAAACTTGCCCTAGCCATTTTAGCTCACATGTATGAACTGCTTAATGCAGGCCAGGAGCTGGGCCAAGGCCTTGACATGCCTTGCTTAATCTTCCCCCAATTCCTGCGAGGTTTTTATTCTGGTTCTGCAGATGAGGAGCCTGACACACAGAGAGGTTGATAATTTACCCAAGGTCATATGGCTCGAGGGTGCCAGCATAAGCTTTTGAAGTCATGTCTGCTGGCTCTGGAGCCTGAAGGTGTAACCATTGCCCTAGGCTTGTTCACTGACTTCTTGTTCAAGAAGAGTTTTCCCAGCATGTGTAATTCCTAGACAGTTCTTATAAGATCTTACTCCTTTGGGCATTTTATACTATATTCATATGATCCTTTCTCTTTAAAAAGCTATAATAAGTATTCAAGAAATATGATTCAATATTCATCATGTACAGAAGAACAGAACTTTTCTAAAAATTTTTTAAATAATAAAATGCCCCATGAGGAAAAGATTATGTCCTCTTGACCCACATTTTAAAAATTTTGTATAAAATGTCTAGAGTAGGTACTAAATGACTGATTCCCTTTGTCATTGGAAACATACAATTGTATAATGTGTGTCGCTGGCTGTCCATAACCAGACAGATATGTTTCACAAGGGAGCTCATTTGGTCCTCAAGCATTTATTAAGCATGCCCTCTAATGAGACTGTTGCTGGCAGCACGTGGAAACAGGGAGGAAGACCACATGGCCCCGGCTCACAGACAGACCAGAACATTAGTTCCCCCAAAGCCAATATGGCAAGAAGTTCAGGAGAGAAAGAAATCATGACCAACTTGGAAAAAATCAACTTGCTTTGTTGGAAAAGGCTCTTGAAGGCCAATTTCTCATCTCCAGCTTCTTTCATTAGTGTTTGACCAGTATTGAGAGGGCCAAGCCAAAGGTAAAGCTAGGGTAGAAGAAGCCACAAGCTAACTACAAAGAACAGAGGTAAAGAAACATATGTGCCTGGCTGGGATGGCTCAGTGGTTGAGCATCAACCTATGAACCAGGAGGTCACATGCCGGGGTTGTGGGCTCAATCCCTAGTGGGGGGCATGCAGGAGGCAGCTGATCAATAATTCTCTCTCTCAACAACGTTTCTATCTCTCTTTCTCTCTTCCTCTCTGAAATCAATAAAAATGTATATATTATTTTAAAAGACACATGTGGCTTGCCTCTGAGCACAACAGCCTGACTGAAAATGGATTAATTTTTGTTTCCAATGGTTATTAAAACAGGCAACATATGAATATGCTAAAACAAACTGAAGGTCAAGCAATACAAAGTATTAGGCTTCCTTTCCACCTTCAGAGGCAGCCTGGTTCGTGGGCTCCTACAAAAGAGGGGTCCATGCATTTATAATGGACAAGGTGTATAATGCCTTCAGCTTCTTGGCTTCTCAGGACTGTGAGGTGGCCCATTCCCAAGGTCTGGCCACAGGGATGAGTCAGAAATGTGGGGAATGCAGAGTTAAATCAGGGAGAATGCTCCAGGCTGGTGAACACAGAGCCCCACCCTGTTGGCCACCTTCTGTGTGCTGGGACTGCAGGCTGTGGACAGGGGAGGGGGAGCCAGAACTTCACTAGGCACTGCACATCTTTTGCAGAGGAGCAAAGTATGTAGTGAGCATGGAAGGCAGATGAGAGATTCTGGAAAATTCCAAGGAGGTAAATATATTTTTATTGATTTCAGAGAGGAAGGGGGAGGAAGAGAGAGATAGAAACATCAAGGATGAGAGAGAATAATTGATTGGCTTCCTCCTGCATACTCCCCATTGGGGATCGAGCCCACAACTCAGGCATGTGCCCTTGACCAGAATTGAACCTGGGATCCTTCAGTCCACAGGCCGATGTTCTACCCACTGAGCCAAACCAGCTAGGGCCCAAGGAGGTTTTACTCACAAGGCAGGTTGGGCCAGCTGGTTAGGATTTCCTTGCTGGGGAGCTGGGGAGAGTGCTACCCGGTGGGGTCTAGGGCAGTGCCTCCGTGGTGAAGAGAGAAGTTTTTAAATGTCTGCCTTCCTAAAACTACTCTCCCTGCATCTCAGAAGCACCCAGCTGGTGTGTATCCTCCAGAATAGCAATCCAGTTATTTGTCTCCCTATTCTCTGATATATTTATAAAGTAATGAATGGTCCATTAACTAAGTTAGGGCCTCTGTCTTTCTACAGCCACCTCTTCACATGCACCCCTCAGCAAGAGGTTGTTGACGTGGGCTGCAGCCTTCCAGCCTCAATTCCCTCCCTTCACCACCTCCCCTACTCTTCTCCCTCTCCCGCCCCTCCCCGGGTTATTTGGGAGATTAGAGTTCATTAATTAAATCCTGTGCTTAGATCGAACTGTAACATTATTCCAATCACATTTATCTTGCAGGCGGCGGACGAGATGGCAGCCTCGCTGGAAACGCGCGGGGGAGCTTGAGATCGCAGCCCCAGACGCACAGCGCTGCGCACTCCCTATCCTCCCGATCGGCGCCGAAGCGCAGACCCTCCATCTTCCTGCTCAGCTTCCCCGCTCGCTCACCCCAGCCTTGAGGGTCCCATTTCTCTCTGGGGCCCTGGCCCACCCCCACACCTCCTCCTGCCTCTGTGGCTCCCCGACCCGGTCCCCTCCCCCCAGCCCCGCCACACACGCTGACACGCGCGAGAACACACACGCCTGACACGCCAGCGAGCTGCTGGCTGCTCAATGGACCGATTTCCCCGCTGTTCCTGATCCTAGCCCAGCCCAGCCCGGGATGAGAAATTGCAAAATGGCCCGGGTCGCCAGTGTGCTGGGGCTGGTCATGCTCAGTGTTGCCCTGCTGATTTTATCGCTCATCAGCTACGTATCCCTGAAAAAGGAGAACATCTTCACCACTTCCAAGTACGCCAGCCCGGGGGCGCCCCGAATGTACATGCTCCACGCGGGATTCCGGTGAGTGAGGGCCTCCGAGCGCCCTCGGGCATCTGGTATATGGGGGAGGGGGAGGGCAATGAGGTGGGTGTTTGGGGTTCTCTGAGCTACTTTGGGCAAGATAAACTGCGTGGTCCTTCCACTCCTCTCTTCGATTTTGCCTCCTCCCTTTTGTTTTTTAACCCAAAGCCTCTAAACTCTATCAATGTGATTGCATGTCTCGTATTCTTCCTTGGCACCCCTTCCCCATTTCCAAAATGAGGGTAGGGTTTAAGGAGAATGATGGTCGAGAGAGAAGCACTGTGTGTGTTTGGGGGCAGGGGGAGGTGAACCGAGAGATGGACGTGGATGAGGTGAGTGCCTTCCCTGGGCCCTGTCCACAGACTCCGAGGCCGGGCTCTGGGCAGTCCAGAGGCGATTTAATGGCGCAGGCGCCGCACTCCCCTTGTAACCTCCTCCACTCCCATCCCTCGCCCCCCATATACCATCAAATGTTGTGCGAGTCTGCTCTTACCAAGCCCCTGGGGTATTTTACCTTGATCCTTTAACCCAGGCTGCCACCCTCCCCCCTGGCGCCCCACCCCCACCCCCGCCTTTCCCGGGATTTCTGCAATTTTCCCCGCCCTCCTAAGGGCCTCCTACCCTCGCCCCAGGTCTAAGCCACAGCCTGGAGCCAGGCTGGACTGGGCAGGGGCAGGCTCCAGGCGCAGCTTGACACAACTCATGGGGACCCCCTGTCCCTACCTTTGACCCCCTAGGAGTTCTCACAGCAAGGCCTCCTGTTGGGTGGGTGGCAAATACAAGCTGCCACTCTGTGGTCCAAGCAGGGCCAGAAGTGCAAACCCTAGAGAAGCCCAGCCGGGCCGGTAGCTTCTGGGGTCCCCAGTCAGAGACTGGGAGTGAAGTCAGACCTAAACTCGGGAAGGAAGAGGTTAAGGCAGCAGTCGCCCCCAGCCTTCCCCCGGTCTCCCAGTCCTCAGCCCTTTCCCTAAAAATCAATTCTCCGGGGCAGCCACCAGCGTGGCGCGGCGCTGTCCGCGGTGCTGACTCCCGGTCCTCACCGCACATCAGGCTCCAGCCTTGCGCCCGCGCCCGCCCCTGCTCTCCTCTCCGCAAGACGGCCATTTTATGGTCTCTCCCGGACCCAGGGGGATGGACAATGGAAACGGATTTCCCTAGTTCTTTTTCTTCCTCCCGGGTGTGTGGGGGGAGCAGAGAGTGAACCAAAGGAGAGGGGGCCCTGTGGTGGGATGGAGCCCGTGTGTGCGCCAGCCCCAGCCCCCCGCCCCCCCAGCCGGCGGGGCGTTAATGGCTCCCTTGGCTTCCCCAGCTGAGGCCAGCGTGTCTATCTGTACTCGTACTCCTCTCCAGGTCACAATTTGCGCTGAAGTTTCTAAATCCGTCATTTGTGCCCATTACGAATTCTCTGGCCCACGATCTTCAAGACAAACCTTCTAAGTGGACATTTAATCGGACAGCGTTTTTACATCAAAGGTAGGCTAGGGGGAAAAGGTCCAAAGGTATTTTTGAATTCTGGAGCTCAAAAAAGAAAACAAAACAAAATAATCAAACAAAAAAATTCTGTCCCCCACCCTGAGATGTGATGTATTTGCATTGCGTTCTTGGCCTAAGTGTATAAAGGCTGATTGGAAACCCTTTTGTTTGTATGCAGTGCCCTCTCATAAAAAGAAAACATCAGGAAGGCCAATTTGAGTGGGAGAAAAAAAAGGCATTTCCAATATCCTCCATAATTTGGGCTTAGTTGAGCACCATGATTTATAGTTAACATGCATGACTGCCAAAGCCATCTATTTTTTTAAGTTAATTGTAAATGCATTTTCATTCCCCCACTGGAAAAAAACTGTTTAAATAAAATAGTATTGTCTCAGTGAAACAACCAGAAAATACTATAATTCATCCCTGTCAGATTACTATGAAAATCTTGGCCCCAATATATGCAGGTACTTAAGAATGGTTTTGTCTACTTGTTTTCATTAAACTTTGACAGTTTTTAATATATTAAAATATTTAAGTATTTTAATAAAAGCTACCCAATAGCATTCTTATGTGTTGTCTTGTAGCAGCCTCCTTTATAGATGAAGGAGTTGATGTGCTATAGGCTTAGCAGTTGAGGTTTTGGTTTTGGGTTGTTTTTGTTTTTGAGGTGGGGAGGAAGGATTAGATTTATTCAAATGTATTTATTCTCCTCAGTGACTCTGGTCTACTTTTAGCAACCCCCAGATAAATCATTACTCCTCCCTTCTTGGTGGGATTATTATGCTGCTAAATGTAGGCCATCTAGTGTATTCATTAGGGGTGGGAGCACTTATTTTAAATTCTTATTTTACCAGTCTATTTAGGGGATTGTGTTTTGGTCAGAGCATTTCTAATTATTGCCTCTCTCTTTTTTAATTTAATGACAGATTTAAAGCAAATTTAACAGATATCCATGGTGTTGTAAAAATGTTATTTACTTAAAAAGTTGACATACTTTTTTGACATAATCATGTGATCATGATGAAAACTTTTAAAACACTTTAATTAAAAATTAACCTATGACAATAATTGATTAACTCTAAAACCCAGGAAGTGCCTTTTTTTAACCATTGGGTTTTTAATACAATATTAATTTTATAGAAAATCTAGAAAACATTAATGGGTAGGACACGTTATTCCTTTTCCCAAAACATATTTTTAATTCAATAAAAATATTCTTCACACACTAGGCCATGTGACCCAAATGACCAGCCAGAACAATATTTCTTTCTCAAATCTTCCCTCCTTTCAATCCATGCATTAGGTAATCTTTAATTAATTTTCCTAGCATCATTTTAAACTTACTTTTACCTTTGTAACAACTTGTAAAGAGCAGTATTGATAACTTTGGAAGTTTTGTATTAAACTTTCAGTTTATGTTGCTCTGCACTTTGACAAATTAAGTAATTTAAAAAATCAAAATTCTAGGTAAAGTAATGATATGCAAAGCATTTAGTCTCAATCTTGCTATTTTTTTAATGCAAAAGACAAAGAAAATTCAATGTGATTTCTTAGAATTGGAGAATCTTATAGCAAGTTACTCAGCTCTCTTAAATATTTTAAATAGCTGGGACTTTAAGAGATGCTTAATTTTACTAAAAGCTCAACATGAAAGCAACCTGAAATTAGTACTAAGTATCACCCTCACCTTGTTTATTCTCTGAATTCTTAGAATATACACACTTTTCCAGGATTTGCAATAGCCTCTTCTTCTGAGGATTAGGTATCTCCAACTAAATTGTGTTTCTAGATAATCAAGTAGAAAAATATTCCTGTTTCATTATTCAAAGGACCTTAATGAGATTATCATCTCATTTCCATTAAATATTCAACTACACCCACTTCCATCACCATTTTCATATTTTAATAATAGATAATACTATACTGACTCATATCCAGTTGGCTCTTATTTGTACACCAGTGATATTTGATATTCCCTGCACTTTTCTTCCACACTTCAGCAACTGTTACCAGTCCAACAGCAAACAAGTAGTCCCTAGTACAAACTCTAAGTCACCAATGTGTGTGCATTAATGTGAGCTCCTTGGGGCCTGTGTCAATTGTCTCCCCGTCTTTCTGACATAGTTTAACCTGTGCCTTCCCCTTAATCAAATATACTCTTTATGTAGAGCAGAAAACCAAAGAATAGCAGCTAAAACTGTTAAGTTACAACACTTACAAGCCCTGAAGGATTACATTCACAAATTGACTGAGAGATTAACATGTCTATAGGTTCTGAAACAGTCTCCCCTCAAAGACCACAATTATTATGAATGTATAATCTTTCTTGGATTCAATGTGCCTATGATTCTTGTCTGAATGAAATGGCAGCATAAGACATAAGATGGAAAATCAATTTTGAATGGGATGTATTTAATGAATTTCTTTTTATTTTAGGCAAGAAATTCTTCAGCATGTCGATGTAATAAAAAATTTTTCTTTGACCAAGAATAGTGTTCGGATCGGACAACTGATGCACTATGATTATTCCAACCATAAATATGTTTTCTCTATTAGCAATAACTTCCGATCACTGCTTCCAGATGTGTCACCCATTGTGAATAAGCATTATAATGTCTGTGCTGTGGTTGGAAATAGTGGGATCCTGACAGGGAGCCGGTGTGGACAAGAAATAGATAAGTCAGATTTTGTTTTCCGTTGCAATTTCGCCCCTACGGAGGCTTTCCAAAGAGATGTTGGAAGGAAAACCAACCTTACCACCTTCAACCCCAGCATCCTGGAAAAATATTACAACAATCTTTTGACCATTCAGGACCGTAACAACTTTTTCCTCAGTTTAAAAAAGCTCGATGGGGCCATTCTTTGGATCCCTGCATTTTTCTTCCACACTTCAGCAACTGTTACCAGGACATTAGTTGACTTTTTTGTTGAACACAGAGGTCAGTTAAAAGTCCAATTGGCTTGGCCTGGGAATATAATGCAACATGTCAACAGGTGTGTATATTTTATTGCCTTTAACTCATACCCCACCAGATGGCAAATCAATATTGTAATCTCTTGGGGGTGGGAACTACTGGATTAGTTCATTGTTGTGGTTAGCTTAGTACTTTAGGGCAAACTCCTGTGTTTTGTAATGAATGAATGAACCATTCTAGGTAAGAAGTTCAATCTCCTACCCCTAGTTTGTCACTAAGTGCCAAATGGGGGGACTGGTGGTTCATCATCCTACTGTCTCTATTCTCTGTCCTCTGCCTTAGTGGTAAGCCCCCCAAGCAGTCATGAATCATCACAGATCAAGAATTTTCTTTAAGTGGGTAGCTATGGCCTAATAATGCCAACTGCAAAATTAGACAAATTAAGTATTTTTTTAAAGATGCAATTGACTCAAAATACTTTTTTATTTGATATTTGGATGTTTTATAGATGTCCAAAATAGATGAACACATAGATAAATCATAAATTGCATAATCTGCCTTTGAAATTTTGGATTTGAATGAGAAAATATGTGAATAGTATTTTATGGGCACCTTGTTCCCTTGTAATTTGATAGACAGATTGACCAGAAATGCAATATTTTTATCTAGTCTGATGACTCTTAACTCTGGCTATACACTGGAATCATTTGGATAACTTTTTAAAATACTGTTGCCTAGGCTCTACTTCAAGAGATTCTATTGTAATTGGTCTGGTGGAGGAGGAGGGTAGGGGCAGGTAGTTGGTATGTCTTAATAACTCCCCAGATGATTCTAACATGCAGTCAGAATTGGAAACCACTAATCCAGGGGCATTTTATAAAGCAGTAGTAATTGTAGTTTTTTTTCTTTAAGTCATCTGAGGAAATTTACTCAACTCTGATTTACCCATATGCAAGTAGCCCAAAGGTACTAACATGTTGTCCAGATATTACTACAAGTTACAGTGGGTTCTGGGAGGCCTGGTGAAAACAGGGAATTCCAAAGACTTTTATCTCACAGTAGATTTTCCCGTCCTGTACTCCCCTAAAGTTTTCCAAATTTAAGATCTGTTTAGCTCACCTCTCATAGAAGGAAGAATCATCATCTAATAAACTGGTATGTATTTAACAGGTAGGGTGACACCATCATTTAAAGTCCAAACTAGAACATTTTATTTGAGAGAAAGAGGACATTATTAATAATTACAAGGACTGTTCCAGTTTTCCAGGTTGTGTGGTTTTGCAGCCCACACAAGAGGTAATGTAGCCCAACTCCTAAGTTTAAAGATGAATTAACCCAGGTACAAAGAACACGAGTTATTTACCCAATGTAACTGTCCAAAAAGGGGGCAGAACCAGAATGAGAAGCTGGCCTCGCCTGTGATCTTTTGACCTCATCATTTTGCTCCTCTCTTGGCTCTATTTAAATTCTGCAGTACCAAAATATTTGTCACTAGTCATTCTAACTCCTATTAAGTTAGAATATTAAAACCAAGATTGAACATTTACATTTCAACTGGTATGGTAAAGGATTATCTTTAAAGCCTTCAAGTAGTGAAGAAGGAACTGTATATGCTCAGAAACTTCAGGAAACTGGCCTTTGTGTCTGCCCTGCCCCACCTTTCAGAAGGTCCAGAGAATTAGCCGTAGTGTCCCACAGCCACTCAGGCTTGAACCAGACACACTGATTCAATGAAAACTTGAATGAAATACAGTCCATAGAAACTGATTCATGAACAATTTAATTCTGCTACACAGCCAATGATATAAATACACACACACACACACACACACACACACACACACACACACACACCCCACAGCTGTCTCAAATATTTGGAAAGGCTTCAGAATAGTTTCTAAACATGGAAGTAACAAGAACCATAATTTAGCTTTTTTCAAGTTCAGAAAGTGTATAAATACTTTTTTTAGGTCCTGACATGCTAAAGAAGGACTTGGGAAGCTCTAGTTGGAAAACAAAGGAGCAGGGAATATGATTTTTTATAAGAGAGTATTAAAATCTTTCCAAACCCAAAAAGAAAGATTTAAACTCTAGGTTTGGAAAAGGAAGTGACATAAGAGATCCCTTTAGAGTAAACAACCCCCTCCCACTCCCAAGGTCCCCTTGTGTATGAGAAGCCAGGTCACTCTCACAGGCGGGCCTCTGTGGTGTCACCACTGAGTCAGAGCCCTAGAGTCTAGGCCAGTGATGGCGAACCTATGACACGCGTGTCAGAGGTGACACGCGAACTCATTTTTTTGGTTGATTTTTCTTTGTATATAAAATAAATATAAAAATATAAATCTTTGTTTTACTATGGTTGCAAAATATCAAAAAATTTCTATATGTGACATGGCACCAGAGTTAAGTTAGGGTTTTACAAAATGCTGACATGCTGAGCTCAAAAGGTTCGCCATCACTGGTCTAGGCCAACCCAGAGGCAGGGTAGGCTTCCAACATGTGCAGCCTTGTGGTTCACAAAGAAGCCCATTTTTAGAAGGGCCCAGCACCTGGTTTAATAATCTGCTACTGCACTCTTGAAATTCTCAATACATTTTACAATGAGGACCTACATTTTCATTTTGCTCCTAGTCTTACAAATTATGCAGCTAGTCCTACCCAGAGGTGTTTTGTGGTCTAAAAGATAGATTCAAAGCAAGTACTGTCAAAGTTGCTTGGACAAACTGACCTCCCAGCCCAGTCAAATGACCTCTGACCGAAACTTTCAACACTGGCCACTGAATCCGCCTATACTTATTGTTCCACAGGTACTGGAAAAACAAACATTTGTCGCCCAAACGGCTGAGCACAGGTATTCTTATGTACACCCTTGCATCAGCAATATGTGAAGAGATCCACTTGTATGGATTTTGGCCTTTTGGATTTGACCCCAACACAAGGGAAGATCTTCCATACCATTACTATGACAAAAAAGGAACCAAATTTACCACCAAGTGGCAGGAGTCCCACCAGCTGCCTGCTGAGTTTCAACTGCTGTACCGAATGCATGGGGAAGGGCTCACCAAGCTGACTCTGTCACACTGTGCCTAAGAACTCCAAACAGAAAGTGCCAAATGGTGGTTTAAAAAGTGCCCCAAATCAAATTGAGTAGTCATCAGAATAGAACCCTAGAGAATTTCTTCTAAGGACTGTCTGCCATTTAAAACGAAAGATGTCTCCTCTCCCTCTGTTGCACTGCTCTCTTAAGGGTCTTAGCAGGACAGATGCATTGAAGCCACATGATTAAAACTTGAATGATAAATGGAATGTTGCATTTGGAACCATGCTGCTAACAAATGGTTTGACGTATTTTCCTGTTTGTATTTTAATAATAAACTGCCTCCCATTTTTATGAGGACTGGAGCTGGAGTTTCTGCAGCTTTGCTCAAGATATAGTGCTCATACTGAGAGGCCTCTGGTCAACTTGGGCAGGATTTCATTTTTTCCTGTGTGGGATCAGACTCTTAAAAATGGAAACATAAAAAATTGTTATGCATATCTCATCTCTCCATCTCTATCCCCCTCTTTCCCTCTCTCCCTCTATCTCTATGTCTCTCCTTTTCCCCACTGCCATGGAGTGTAATAATTTGCTGGGAATCATAGTGAATTAGTTTTGCTTGCATATGTTGCATCTGTATTTGATGTATTCAAGGCTCTGGATAACTTTGATGTTTCATGAAAAACTGAGCAAATCATGATGGATCTCATTATGATTACTTTGATAAGAAATGCCTCTTATGAAGTTCTCACTATCGAGATAGTCTTTCTACAGCAGAGTGGTCCATCTGTGGCAAGTGTCATATAATGCAATGCATCTTTTACTATGACAGAGAAAGCCTATGTCTTGGGTGGCATGGCCACTTGTCATGAGTGCTATTATGGCAAATCATTCTGTTGCCACATCTGCAAGGGCATTCCAGCCTGGGTTTAGTGCCTCTCACAATCCCAATTCAAGCACTGGGCTGGGAATACTCTCAGAATATAGAAGCAATGAGTCAACTTAAGAGTCTGGGACATAGAGAAGGAGAATGCTTAGAAGTTTTCATGGACCCCGTATACCTTAAAGTGTTGTACCATGTTGCCCATTCAGAGCCTTTGAGAACCAGCAAGATTTGAGCAAAGTAGAAGCTTCAAGGTTGGCCAGGCCCCCATTTGAATAGTGCTCAGGTGAGATCAACTTCACCATCATTGTGTCCACCAGCACTGCTCCAGAACCATTTTCTCTCTTCAAGACACTTGTAGACACTGGATATTCCCCCTTACCACTGAAATCAGATCTATACATGTACAGATTAAGTATTTCAAAATGAAAAGCCATTGTGCAGTGGCAAAATCTGGTACTAAATAACTCTTAGAATTTGAGATGTGCAGACTTGCCATGAAGAAATTAGTGGGCCATTCTCTTTTTCATTATTTCAGCCTTAGAAGTAGAAATCACATCACTTCCACCCGTGGCTTTTCACTGGGCAGCATTTTGTTCTTCCAATTCAGCCCAAAGTCTGGCCAAGTTGATGTTAAATTTTAATAAGAATTTCTTTCTTCTTTCCAAATGCCAGTCAAGCATATTTATAATACATTTGGGTGGGGTAGCTTGTTCTTTTCCAGAAATCTCATTTAGATTTCTTGCAATGTTACAAATACTGTTGAAAAGAATTGCTGTAGTTCAGTAATCGATCAGCTCACTAACCCGCCCCTTTGGGAAAGTATAATCATGCCTAAAATTAAACCAAATACAATATGGAAAGACATAGTCCTTATGCTCATGGTCTGCCTGGTTCTGAATGGGAGCTGTCTTATTCCAATTTTTTTTAAAAGCTAATCAGAGAAGCCTACATATACCCAGATATTAACTAATGAAAGAAAAACTATACAGGTTCAAATATGTTGCCAATTGTGACATCTTACAACACTGATTGATGGCAATCATCCAAATAGATGGGGAGAAATAGGAATAGATATTTCAAAATGGAAAACACTAGAACAGATTGATATTTGAAATAATTATAAATTTCTAAATTTTAAATTTCTAAATTCAATGGTATAATTTGATGCCTAGCAAAACCATGCTTGTTCCCTGTCACTCTAAAGAGGATGCTACTACAGTTCTCATGCTGGGCTCTGTCAGGATCACTGCAAGATTGATAACTGATAAAATGTTTAGTTGGCTCTTCCTAAGCACTTCGTTCATTAGGTTACAGCTAAGTGTTATTAATGCCAATATTGCATAGGCCAGATTTTGACTCTAGACTAGAGTCTTAATCCCAATGTGCCCATTAAAATTCACTAAATACAAATATGTAGACACTTTGAACCAGACAAGTTAAAAAAGCAAAGAACCCGAATTCCTAAAACCAGTTAAGTCAGTGGTTCTCAACCTTCTGGCCCTTTAAATACAGTTCCTCATGTTGTGACCCAACCATAAAATTATTTTCATTGCTACTTCATAACTGTAATGTTGCTACTGTTATGAATCATAATGTAAATATCTGATATGCAGGATGGTCTTAGGCGACCCCTGTCAAAGGGTCGTTCGACCGCCAAAGGGGTCGAGACCCACAGGTTGAGAACCGCTGAGTTAAGCGATCTATGGTGGAACATTTAAATTAAATCTCATCATAAAGCCAAGTGTTTGTTGGGTTTTTTTGAATCTCATTTCACTCTTGGCTCCATCTTAATCTAGAGTGGGAGAACTTTTCCATCTCCCAACATCATTTCATCTTTTACTTTCACAAGAACTCAAAATGTTGAAGAAATGGACTTGTGCCCCAGAACTAGAAGAGCTTAGAGACCAGGCTTATATCCTGTTTCTAGGAAGGACTTCCTAAGCCAAAAAGATCACTCTTCCCCTTTCTTTAAAGGAAGAAAATCCTAAGCCCTCCCACAGTAGTTAACCACCATTCTTATAATTTATAAATTTTATATACAGCCTACTTTCCTCCTATTGCAAAAATTAGATGCAATATGTAGGTAAAGCATTTATCCCAGTTTTCAGCTTGTAGTAAGCACTCAATATATGGCAGTTTTTACAGTTATTTTTATTGTTAGTTATGCCCTTGACCTACAGTTCCAGCATAGAGAAAAACAGCCTCTAGCTCATTATACAAAATCTCTTTCTGTTTTTAAAGACTGTTTCAAAGAATAAACCTATATAACCACTGTCATGACCAAAAGAGGTGGTGAATCCCATAAGTCCTGATATGAAAGGCAGTGGTGCCAGTAACCAGAACTTCCTGTGTGGTCAAGAGCAGTGAACTGGGAAGGCAGGACCTGTAGCTGGATCAGTTAGGTCCCCCCTCATGATTCAGCTACAGATACAAACCCCTGGCCTTTTCATTGCCCTTGCTTTATTGGTTCTAGGTTAAATGCATCCTTTTGACAGAATCTTTCTTCTTTACCGATATTATATTCACAGCAGAGTCCACCCTCAACAACTGGAATAAATTTCACCATAAAACCCCCAACACATGATACCAGTACAAATGACCAATTCAGTTGCAGAGGTAAGAAAGCCCCACAAACATTTAGCAACCTGCTTAATGCTAGTCCCTTAAGTTTTCATGGTTGTTCTGAATGTCATGCACAGACATGTAGTTCCAAGGGAGACAGATTTAAAATGTGATATCAAGAATGCCTCCCACAGCCAGAAAATCTTTTTCATATCTGATAATTAAACATCTATGGTTCCTCTTCCTTTGCTTCTGTGTCTTAAATGTACTTAACCTTTGTAAAAGTACTTGTGCTTAGTAGCATCATGTGCCTAGCAGTGCTGACTGTGACCACTGTGCCATCTGTCTGTGACTCTGATATCAGGCACCTGACCAAGGGGCTACCAGCCAGAATGTGCAAAGGGAGAGGCTGCCTCAGCCTCCTTGTGCCCGAGCCTCCAGTTATCCATGAATGTGAATGCCAGGTCTAACCTATTTGGTGGGGAAGCCAAGGAACGGAAGAGCATTTCTTCTGACTTTGGGCAAGGTACTAATTATTAAACACTCTTACACAGCAAAGAGATGTTGGCCTGAGGCCCAAGGAAGCAGGAACTAGGCCACTGAAATTGGAAGAGCCTTTGAGCATCTTTAGTCCTAATTCTTGATGTTACAAATAAGAAATGGAGAATCAGAGAAGCTAAGTGATTTTCCCAAGATTGCATAGATAATCAGTGAAGCAATTATACCTCCTCATCTAATATTTCTTGGCCTTATCAGCATCCAATGAAGATGGGCTCAAAGGGAAAGTGATTTTGGTCTGGGGTTCACAAGGCACAGAAAATAAGTTACAAAAGCTGTAAAGGAGGAAAAAGATACCCCAAATTATTTATTTCTCAATGCAAAACAATCACGGGGATTCTTACTTAGCTATACAAAGTCTACTGATAATAACATACATTATGCCTAAAATGAGAGGAAACCTTTTTGGTAAATTATGATTCTGATAAATCACAGTTCAGTTACTGATGGGTCACAGTTGACAGCTGGAATCTTCAATAATCTATTCATCTTAATAAAATCTTGTTTTAGTGATATGTATGCATAATTTGAAAGTTGAATAGTGAGAATGGTTATGTATTTCTCCATACATATATTCTCAGCTCAGACCCCTTGAGGTAAGAAATACCTTTGTCAATGCCTTCCATGTTGTGAGCAATTTCAACAGCAGACTTTGTATTACTACATTTAGTTCAATATGCTAAGATGTGCAAATAATAATAATTTGGGCTGGGTCTTCATGTGCAAAATGACAGAATGAGCAGTTTTCTGTATAGTTCTAGATCTCTAAATCTTTTTTCCCCTAATTGTGTGAATGTACCAGGCAAACATATCTGTTTGGCCTCTATTTCTCCCTGAATGTGCAGAACTGTTCTTTTTATTTTAAAGAGAGTTGGGGCTATGAGTGTGGCTGGAAAACCCCGATGGAGTATCTAAGTATTGGGGACCTAGAGCCCCCCGGGGCCACCTGATTGACCGGTCTTGGATCTGTGGCCCAATTAATCAAGGCTACAGGTCAGTGGACACCAAGGACCAAAATGACTAAATATGCCTCTTTCACACTCTGCTTTACCACAGCAAATTTTAGAACATTGTTATTGTATTATGCAGTATTTCTTAAAATGTCTCTTTATTGTAATGAATTATTGAAGATATATGTGTTTGAATAGATGTTTTAATCTGTAATGATGCTCATTCTCTTGTTGATTACAGTGGAATCACAGTAAAGAGCCTGTCATAGAATAATTGACTGCAATTTAAGACCACAATGGGTTATAGGGTTAGGACCTGGATTATACTGCTGATCCACCAGCAAACAAAGTTGTATGACATGAGAAGCTCTTTAACGTATGGTTCTTGCTCCCCACACTTTTGACTCTATGT